CTTCCTTCCTTCCTTCCTTCCTTCCTTCCTTCCCTCCTTCTTTCCTTCCTTCTTTCCTTTCTTTCCTTTCTATCCTTTCTTTCCTTTCTTTCTTGGTTTCTATTCAGTTGGGTCAAAAAGACACAACTGTCCTTCATTTCTTGCTCTGTCCTCCCTGCAATTCTCCTCTAATTCTATTTTTATTTAATTTGTTATCACAGTCCCACAAATGAATTTGCACAGACACGTCTCTGTACTTATAAGAAATAGCTTTCCAGGCTGAGAACATAAAGGAGAAATATATCAGGAAGACACTGAGACTTCCCTGATTTTGTTTTTCTAAAGTGAAATAGACCATTTACAACATCATATTATTACAAATGATCCCTTACAATTATTTTCTTACATGAAAAAAAGCTACACCATAGGTTTTGTTAGAGATTTTCTGGGCTGCCAAGAACAAAGCCTTTTCAACATTTAATAATCCAGGTATTACCCAACACCCCTTATGTGAAGATAAACTGATTTTCCTTCCTGTTGTGTTAAATAGAACGTGTGTGACCCGCTACAATGTTCCAAAGGGAAAAAAAAAAAGGAAGAAAACCAGCTCTGTGTGCCCTTGAGTGAAAAAAACCCACAACCTAGTTTTGAGCTATAAGGGAGATGCCTGGGCCCACTCTGACTCCAGTCCTGGGAGCCTTGGAGTGCAGAAAGGAGAAGATGCTCCACTGGCACTGTGACCCACTGAGCTCTTGAGGAAATCTATCTGAAAGCAAATATGACATGGGGATTTTTGAAGGAAAGCTCCTCACCCACTCTTCCCCCCACTAACACACTTCCCTGCTGCTAGGGAAGAGGTCTGTGCTTGGCTGGCACTCAAGGAGAAATTCTAGCCCAGGGTTTTGGGGACACTGCCACCCTGACTAGGAAAGGCAGAAGTTTTTTACCATTCATGCTGACTAGGGTTGGTAATTCTATGGTTGGAATAGAGGACTTTGATTCTATGGTTGGATTATGATTCTATGGTTGGACCTGATGATCTTGGAGGTCTCTTCCAATCTACAGGATTCTATGATTCTATGCAAGCTCAGATGATGGCTCTGAAACCACCCAGAGTTCTGCAACATCCCCTGTCCAAGGGTGGAAATTTACTGTGGTTTGTGTTCCTAGAGCAAGCAGACATTCACACAGGGCACTGGGGCAGCCCTGAGGTATAAATATTATTTTATGTGGTTATTTCAATCCAAAATATTGAAAAACATTTAGTAGCTGTGTTGCAGCAAGGTGATTTTTATCCAGCATGAAACCAAGAGTATGCATTATATCCCTTGAGATGTACCATGGGAGTATACAAGGATCACTGTTTGCTTGTGTAGCTGTATCAAAGGAGGATAATCTCTGAGTCCAGACAAGCACCAGATGACAGGCAGGTGCTATTTAAAAGAAATTGGACAATATTGCCACGTTGAGCTTCCTGAAGGAGAGATTGACCTTCTCCAACCTTCAGAGGTCCCAGAGGTCACAGAGCATCTTTGTGCAGTGGCCAGACAGGATCTGGCCCATAACCTGAGGATGTCTGAACTGATGTGACTGCTCAGACTTGAGGCTTTCTTCTTTTCCCTGTGAAGGTGAACAAGGGATGAATTTTGTTGGGAAGCTGTCATGTTATTTCTGGAAGGTATTTCCTATCCCTTGGGGATTTATTAAGGCACATAGCAGCACTTATTTGTATTCAAATTGATTGAGCTGGATATATGTGAGGTGAAAGCATGTGAGTGACAGTTTTTGCATGCAGGAGACTTTGTGGAAGGAACTTTGACTTTACCAGCTCACTGCCCACTCCTCTTCATCCTAAGTGTGGACCCTGCAGGGCATATTGTGAATGCTGCCTTTGATTCACTGACAGTCCCAGCAGCTCAAGGCAGCTGCAAACCCAGTTTACCTGTCCAGTTAAAGTGATTTTATGGCTTCTGTATTCCTGAAGATTTGGAAGCCAGCAATGTGTGCCACTAAATCAACCTTCAGCAGCTTTACCAGGCTTTTGGAGAGAACAAGAAGGATCCTATCACTTTACTTCTTAACCTGCTTCTTTTCAAGAGCCTTTTGTCATCCTGAATTTGTGCCCAAGTGGTTGAGTTTTACTGCAGGATTTATGGCTCATCTTTATGGTTTGGGTTCTGTTTTGCAGTGTATTGTTGCAACAGCCACCTGTATATAAATCAAGCTACATAAATAAACCATCTCCTGCCAGAAGAACATAATATTTAGGATTTGTCTGCAAGGGAAAATGTTCTGGTACAAGTGGGAATGTCAACTGGAAACACAGTGGCTGAAGTGCCTCCAGTGCTTGGGTGGATTCTCCCATTCTGTGCTTCTTCAGGTCTCAGCTTAAGTTTGATTTGGAAGCAGAGTGAGATAAACCATTAAAAAGCACTCAGAGGATATCAAGACTTTTTCCAGGCTAACCAGGAGCTACTGGGAGACAGGGATATGGAATCATTAGAGGGTGTCCCAGCACTGCCAGGTTGTTTCCTTCAGGTCTACTGCTTGCACATGGTCCATTTCCCAGGTATCTGCTCATCCCTACCTGGTAGCTCTGCATGATTCTTTCTTGTGAGGCTGATTTTCTTCTCTTGTCTTCTTAAACACCCACAGTCACAAAAAGCAGGGAGATGGAAAGCAAGGAGAATAAATCCAGCAACAAATTACACATCTGAATCATTGAGGAGAAACAGATAGTTCAGCTTTGATCTTTAAAGAATGAATTCAGTCAGCTGCAGTAATATACAGCTTAGACTGGGACTTTTTGATGTGTGTCTACAGGATAAGCTTGATCTTGACCAAACCCAAGTGATGCAGAGGTGACATTCTTGGCCATGTGTGATGCTTCCTAAAAATCCCAGCAAAAGAGTGGATGTGGGATGGACATGGAAGCTCATTTGTGGGATCCTATCACTTGTGGGATCCCCTGCAGCAGCTGAATTGGGGTGTACACAAAAAGCACATGACAGCTGTCAATGTTCTCTGCCACCTCCCCAGGGCAACTCTTTCCAGCCTGTGTTCAGGTCAGTTGCTGTGCCAGTGGCTGTAGGGGGAAGATGCCTTGAATGGCCACTCAAAACCCCCTCCCTGCCCAGCAGTGCCTGCTGCAGCTCCCCTGGGAACAGCACTTTGCCACTTGTTAAAGGAATGGCAAGGGAACGTGGAAACTCCAGCTACAAGCTGAAGTTCATTCCCATCTTTTCAAGTCAGGAATCTGGATTTAGATGCCAGTCTCCAGAAGCTGATAACAACAGAACGAAGCAGGTGGGGAATTGCTGTCCTTATATTTTGGGTGAGGAGTTGTAACTGTCTTTGGTCTTTCACTTGAAAAAGCTTGCACTGATGCTAAACATTTCCTCTCCCCAGTGCTGCTGCCTCTCCCCCTCATGCTTCCTGATGCAGCTGAACCATAAGGTCTTTTTACTCTGCCAATCCCATGGTTTATTTTATCTCTCCAGCTCACAGCAGGCCTTTGAATGAAATGAAAAACAGCCTTGCTGTTATCAGCACAGGGCAGAAGCAGATGGGAAACTTGTGGTATTGCTCCAGCTAGTGCTGTGTCTTCATGCAGTTGGAGTGTAATGCTGGGAGGGACTGGGTGCCTTCAGTATCCCTTCAATTCATCCAAAAAAAAGGAACTTCCAAGCATTCCCCATTTCCCTGGGGGTGTTCAGCACCCCAGATGACTCAGATGTTGCTGGGCAGCAGGTGACCTCTCCCTCCATGATGCCACCTGGATTAACTTGGACCTTTTTAGGCAGCAGCTTTCCTGGAGTCACTGGAGGCTTCCATCAGCTCTACCCAGGAGCTGCCACACGCTGCTTGGGTTTGCACATCACTCACTGGCTTCTCATATCCCAAATTCAAGCATTTAGATCTAGTGCAGTCTTGGAACAGAAACAGAAAAGGCAATACCACAGGCTGCCCAGAGCTTCTGCCCTGGGAAGATAAGAATGGCACACTTGTAAACTGGCCCAAGGCATTGCCATGACTCAGTTCAAAGCTGTGCAGATAAAACAAGCTCCAGTGCTGTTAGAAAAACAAAGAGCCTTGTAGAAGCTCCAGAAGCACTCAAAGAATGGAGCATTTGAAGAGAATAATAGCTGAACACTATCATTACTATTATTGTTTTATACTGTACTAGGTGCTGGAAAAGGGTGAAGTGAAGAGACAGCCTGAGCTTCTAACTAACTCCCAGTCTAAGCACCAGGGTGGGACAAAGGGAAAGGAAAGGAGGTAGAGGGAGGTATAGCTGTTGAGAGGAGGAGTTTCAGGACTTCTCTGTGAACTATCAAGGCCATTCTTGGGCACAGAGGTGGCAAGGTAGGGTGCAGCATCATCCTCATATCATAACAGATGCTTCTGTAATTAATTTATTACTCCTTAAAATCAAGATGCAGCAGCTGGCAGAACCCTAGAGGGACCTTTGCAGTCCTGCAGTGTGACCTGTATCTCAGGCTGCCTCACAGGGGTGGCTCTCAGTGCTTGGTTTGTCCTCATTCCACCAGCCATTGCTATGGAAAGTCTTTCTAGCATTCAGCCTGCATGGACTGTATGGAGATCCCAGGGAGGAAAGAAAAAGATCCAGTGAAAAATTACTCCTAGATCTGTGACAAAAATTTATCATTCCTACTAAAACCAGAATTTCACAACCCACTCAGGAACCAGTACTAAGAACACTTTTAATCCTGTTACAAAAGACAACTCAAAACCCCTCTTAGACCACATCAGGAAGGAAAGACATGATATCATCTTGATCTCAGCTTATAAAAGCCTTTGCCAAGGTGGCAGGAACCAAGGAGCAAGTCTGGAGATCATTACAGGGGTGCCAAGATGCAAAATTATAAGGTGTTAGTGTTCATTTGTGTCCTGTAAGCATTTATTGTTTGAGGAATGATCTGTGTAGAGCTAAGAGTTGGAAATGGTTATTTTTTTATTATTATTGTGCTTAACCTCTTCTTTCTCTAATCCACCTTCAGGTATCTCCATGCCTATACCTGTCTTTGGACTACAAGATGACTCCAAAGTGTTTAAGAAAGACAGCTGCTTACTTGCAGATGACAATTTTGTCCTAATAGGCTCTTTTGTGGCATTCTTCATCCCTCTAACTATCATGGTGGTCACCTACTTTTTAACCATCAAGTCGCTGCAGAAGGAAGCCATGCTATGCGTGAATGACATTGGCCCAAAGACCAAGTTTGCCTCATTTAGCTTCCTCCCCCAGAGCTCCCTCTCCTCAGAGAAACTCTTCCAACGCTCTCTGAACAGAGATGTGGGGACTTCTGGGAGGAGAACCATGCAATCCATCAGCAACGAGCAGAAGGCCTCCAAGGTCCTGGGCATCGTCTTCTTTCTCTTCGTCGTGATGTGGTGCCCGTTCTTCATCACCAACGTCATGGCCGTGATCTGCAAGGAGTCCTGCAACCAAGAAGTCATTGGGGAACTCCTGAACGTGTTTGTTTGGATTGGGTACCTTTCTTCAGCCATCAACCCCCTCGTCTACACGTTGTTCAACAAAACCTACCGCTCAGCTTTCTCCCGTTACATTCAGTGCCGCTACAAGGAGGAGAAGAAACCTTTCCAGCTCATTTTAGTGAACACTATCCCTGCACTGGCATACAATTCCAGCCAGCTCCAGCTAGCCCAGATGAAGAGTTTGAAGAAAGAAGCAAAAATGATGGCCACCATAGGGATACATCATTTAGATGGTACCTCCAAGGGAAGCATCAGCCCCTCAACGGAAAAGGTCAGCGGCGTGTGATGCTTGGCAGCTGCCAGGACAACCACCACGTGTAGGCTGAAAATTTCACCTGCCTACAGGGGAGAGCTACAGGGGAAAAGCTCTGATGGCTTAAGAAAATCAGCCCTGTTCAAGAGACCCTCCAACAACATCACTTACACCTCATGTTATCCTGTGGATGAAAAGCAGGGTTGAAATGGTATCAAACGTGCAATTTTTTTCATACAGTACTTTGGCTGTTTTAAGCACAGGCTTTATTAAACTTATTTTTTTAATATTCTAGAGGATATATTTCTTAAAGAAACAAACAAGAAAATGCAATTTCTGGTCTAATAAGATGGGCTGTGAAGAAACCTACACATTTCTTTTCTCTTGGCAAATGAAAGCTAAGCTGTCCTTTGATGTCCTCGCAGAGCAGGCTCCAGCTCGTTTGTCTTGCTACAAAGGAATTTTGTTATCATCAACTGAATGAGCACTTTATGGAATTTTAAATAAAATGATGATTAATTTACTAATATATATTTAAAATAAATTTTAAAGCATTAAAAGAAAACTCTATTAAAGTCTGTATAGGTGAATTATACGGACAGTCTGGTAACAGGTTTTTATGGCTGGTTTTTTTCCTTCCATTCTGAAATGTTACTGGGCTTTTCTGCCATTCGTTCTGTAGTTCTAATTAGCAGTCTTCAAAGGTAAATTATACTTGAATGATCCTTTGTTTCCGTTCTCAACCTTTATTTCATGTGCTTGTTTCCATTCCCAAATTTTCTTCTGTTCTGCTTAAAACTTGAAAGCAATTTTTTTTTCAATAATTATTGGGCAGGATTCCCTGCTCCTTCCTGCT